CCAGTGGGTTTTTTTTTTTTTTTTTTTTTCCTGGCGTGAGGTGGGGTAGCAGCTTTCCTAACGGAGCGTTGTGAAATTCTGCTCTTGTTCGGAGAGCTCAGGTATCCCAGAAAGATGTGGGATTTGGTGGCAGAGTCCTTCCATCAGCTCTGCCTCATCATTCCGGAGCAGTTAAACCTTGAGTCATTTTGTTCTGATGCGAAATGACTCTTCATCAGCTGCAGTTTTTGTTTGAGGGTGGTACTACAAATGAGGCCAAGCGAAGCTGTGATTTAAATACCGAGTTATTCTCTGACAGCTGCATGACAGGATCATAAAAACTGGCCTGCTTACTGTCCTGATGTCCACTGCTTTTTTTTTTTTTTTATGTAGCAAAGCTTCCAGGCAAAATGATTTGTCAGATAAAATCTCCAGGGCCAAAACGAGGGACGCTTTGGGTGTCCTCTATGCTTTGATAAAAATGGAATAAAAAAAAAAAAAAAAAGATGCACCCTGGAAAAAAAAAAAGCAAATAGACCGATGTGAGCCAGCACTTCAAGGAAGATTTGAGGATCAAGGATGCTGAATGGGATAGTCTGCTCCCTCGTTTCCATCCTGACAGCCAGGTACGGCTCATGAAGCTGATCTGGAAGGAGTTTGAAGTGCTCACGACATGTCTCATGTTCCATATACCCAGGAGTCCTGCCTCTGCTGGCTCTTCCCAGGCTTGCGTGACAAGGAGAAAGCTAAACTCCGTCGTTCCTCATATTGTAGCGTTTATAAAAATAGCCTCGGACACGTTAAAATTGATGCGATGGATTGTAGCAGCGTCTCTACTCTGGGAAACTCGGGAGCGCAAGTAAATAATTTATTGCCGCTTTTCTTCATTTTTTAGTTATGAGCACATAGAGCAGTTGTTTGATATAGTGGTAGCAAAGAGACGGGCGCAGGCTTAGAGATGTGGCCCAAAAATTAGTAGTTTCTGTGATTCTTGGTATGAGACCCAAACAGGTAAGGATTTTTGGTGGAACAAATGTCCGTTATTCTTACCAATACACAGCCAGAGGCTGTGGCTCTTGGTGCGAGAGCCTTCAGGTAGGTGAAGTAGTTCATGGACACGGAGCCAAGCACTCTTTTAAAATCTCCCTGGTGGTCCTTGGTGAGATGGCTTACCCGATCGCTGGCAGGGCACCGGAGGGTGGGCTTTGGGTACGCAAAAATGAGTCGACGATTGCTTGTGTTGAGCTGGTGGGAACTGGTGCTTAACTCCCGCGTGTGCTGCTTTTTCCTTCTCTTTGGTAGATCCAACAGGAAAACTTATTTCAGGAGGGTGACAGTGGTGATAACAGCAGCTGAAGGGTACCGAGGGGCAGGCTGGGTGTCTGCTGGGAGCAGAGGACATCTCTGGGAGCGGTTCTCCCATCTCACATGTCAGCTCTGAAGTTCCAGGAAAGTCTTTTGAATGGCTCACGGGGATGTACCGGCCACGGGGCGCAACCACAACTTGTTCTTGTTGCTCCAGGTTTTAACATTTCCCTGGTAGGAATGGGTGCATCAAGGCTTTCCCTTCCTGAACAGGCTTCTATGGAAGATGGTTTGTCAGTATTTCCACCTTCCCGGGTAAATTCTCCGAAGACGCGCTGCTTTTTTGGGTCAGTTAGTCCCTTTCATCTTTCACCTTTTAGGTCTGTTGCCCCAATTTTTCTCCCTTTGCAGCATCCATCTCTTTTGGCAGGTGGTCCCCACCCCAGATTTTAACTCTTCCAGTCCAGGCAGGAGGCATGATCAGGCAGGGACTCGGCTGCGTGCTGACACAGGCAAGAAGGAGGTTCTCCGTGGCCAGGACCCGAGGATGAAGCACAAAGGTGGTTTTTTTGTCGGTGTTACGTTGGGCTTCCAGCAGCCTGAGGGCAGTGGGAGACCTTGAGCACTCCGTGCTTCCCGGTGTTTCCATAGCTGCCTTCAGTTCTTTCTCAGTGCTTAACAAATTCTTGTAAAAGACATTTGAACAGCTGCTTCTGCGGTCCGAGCGAGCAGGTTAATAATGGATACTCGACAGCGCAAAGCTGCGTGTGTCGTTGGATGGAGAAGCTGAAGCTCACCGGGCTCCGAAGCACCTTCCAGGTGCTCTGGCAGCAGCTTTTCCAGGACGGAGCAGCGCTGCCGAGGCCACCAGCTGCTCCATCCCAGGAACTCCTCCATGAAACGTCGGCTTCGGTTTGCTCTGTCCTGAACCCGGAGCAACGTGGTGGTGCTCTGTGTCCCTGCGTCAGCTCCAGAAATGCAGGAAAAAACCCATGACGATGCAGATCTCCTGCAGAGAGGAAATTAATTCTTAAATTAGTTACTGTCCCTTCCACCAGGCTGAAGGATGGGCCTGCAGAGGGCAGGAGGGATGGCTTTAAGAACAGCCAGGCTCTGCAAAGCACAGTCTAAAACCTCTGTTTTAGCCCTCGATTATCTGCCATTAAATGCGTCCTCCTGGAGCTTTGGGATGTGACGTTCACATTTCCACGATCTTGGAGCACAAAGGGATGGTGGTATTCCCTCTTTTTTTTTTTTTTTTTTTTTTTTTTTTTTTTTTTTTTTTAAACACTGCTGTTTGCAGGAGGCTTTGTTGTATTTTAATACCTTTGCATCTGGAAAGGGAACGAGTTCCCAGCGTGAGCACAAACCCATCTTCTCCCCGAAGCGCGTGACCTGCGGCGTGGATACTGAGGTTACATCGCTTCTTCATCCTACAAAGCTGCTTTCTCAGTGCGAGGTGGAAAAGAGGAGAAATAAATAAGAGGAAAACCTGGAGCTGAGGCTGAGCACCCCTTCTTCAGCCCAGTTTTGTGCCAAGCTCCGTTCTGCACGTCCGCCGGTGCGTAAGGAACAGGCTTCGTGGGGACACCAGCCCCTCCCCGCGTCTCGGAGGGGACACTGCGGGACCCTCCTGCAGCCACAAAGGAAAGAAAATTATTGCCAGACACGGTCTGACTTCTCTGATCCACTTCATGTTGCCTTTTCCTCTGTCCCCGTGCACGGAGGTGCCCGTGGAAGCCTGGTTGGCAGCAGTTACTTTCCCTCCCTGCAGGTATCCCAGTAAACCCGTTTTTTCCTACTGGCCCTCCAGCTCCCTGCTTGCTCCTGGCTGAAGTTCAAGGTGCTGGTCGGGGTGTTCAGACAGAGCCGGGGCAGTTTGGACCCCGCTGGGAGACACGGTGTCGGGCGGTGACCTGCAGCGCGGTGGCCCCGCTCCCCGTGGAGGGTGGAGGGCTCCCTGCGGGTCCGGGCTAATCCTCCGGCTGGTGTGAGGCAGGTTGTGAGAGTTGGGCTTTGAAAACAGAGCCTGGGGCAGGTCCGGGATTGTTGTAGAAAGAGAGCTTTTTTCCTTTTTTTCCTTCTTTTTTTTTTTTTTCCTATTTTTTTCTTTTTTTCTCTTTTTTCTTTCTTCTCTTTTTTCTTTTTTCTCTTTTTTCTTTTTTCTCTTTTTTCTTTTTTTCTCTTTTTTCTTTTTTTCTCTTTCTTCTTTCTTCT